ACTCGCTAGCCGTATAAAAGGTTAGGGGTGTTTCCGCCCTAGTTGGAGAACTCCACGATTCCCCCTGGAGTGGAACTCCGGCAGCTTGATCACCTGCCAACGACTCCCCGTCGGCAAAGCCTTGCAACGTGTCCTCCGTGTTGCATGCCCAAGTTAGACCCGAGCTACCCGGTCTACAAGAGCGCCTCGATTACCGATTAAAGAATAGAATTGTTGCAACTACGATTGCCTGCGCTGTATACGACTCTACAGTGTAAGTAAAGCTACCTCTGTTTTTCCAACTGATACGTGTCTCGTCTGTGCCTAATTTCGCTCTGGTGATAGAGAGTACCCATCTACCCATCACGGGATCGCAGCCGCAACCCCAGCTAGCGTTCCCAAAGACTCCCGGTCCTCGATTCCCCCTCGGCCCCCACACTGCTCACTGAAGCCACAGGGCCTAGGGATCTCCTTTTGAGGGAAAGGGTCAAATATTCTGGTCTGCATAATATGCAGTAAAAACACAGAAGAGGCACATATATCATGCAAGTTAGGCCCAGCCCTAAGCTATACCAGCTTTGATACCCTTATATTAGTCTTTGCAACACAATATAATGAACCAACAGATCACATGAAACAAACTTTTAAACGCATATAAACGAGCAGAGAGAGTTACAGAAACATAGCAGGTATATTCCAACAGGCAGTAAGCCCATGTGCTACCACTTAGATCTGTGCTATTAGACAGCTGAGTTCTATTCCCAGGTCATAAATTGTCAGTAATTTGTGAGATATTACTTAATAACATTGTAGTCTTCCAAAACTTAATATGAATCAGTAGAACAGACAAGATCAGAACTTTAATCCTCTCCAGGAATTCTCATTGTAATCCCATGGTGTAAAGACAGGATGGGCTCATGCCTCATACAATACCCTGAAAATGCTGCTCTGATATTCCCATGTTCCTGTTACTACAAACACTGAGGCAATAACTGGTCTGAGTTTCTTCTTCCAATGCCAAATATACTGTAGTGACAGGAGTTCTACCTTAAAATACTCAAGATTTTAGTTGCGCCATCAAAAATCAAACAGTAACTATATAAATTATGGAAGAGAAATACAATTAAAAATGCAAGTAAAATGTTACAACATACAGGAACAGAACAGAAAAAAAACTAAAAACATTTTTGTTCCATTACATAAATTCTAATATCCATCCTGATAATCCTTATGTACTATTTGGAGACATTTGATACTGATCTCTGTCGAAAAGAATTCTAGTTTAGATGGACCACTAATATGATCTAGTAGGCATTATTCTACTTCTTGTGCAGTACTGCACTGAAGAATTACTTTAAAATGCTTGCTATTTGGTGGCTGCATTTTTTTTTTTGTTTCGACTGAGGTAATATCCAAAAATATACTAGCTACTTTCCAAATAAACAAGACATAATCCTAAAGAGGGATTCTGTATTCTTATTCTCTACTTACCAATTTTCACAGTATCAAATTAAAAGACAATAGCTTACATTATATAATTTAAGATCTAAGTTTAGCTAGCAAATTTATAGAAACCAATTTGATACCCCTACCTAAAAATAGTGGAGTAAATAATTACATAAAGCTGTAACCACTTTTAACAATATTAAATAATATTGGGCTGTACAAAGAACACCTCACTGGGATCAAATGAGAAATTTACTTAAAAACTAATAATATAACCTTGGTACCAGAGTATACACATTAATTTGGAACCACTTACTGATGGCAGTATACACTAGGCTCTCAAGTCATTTTACAATCCTGCTTTTACTTGCTAACTGAATCCTAAATAGTATCTTCTTTGGGCTACTGGTTAAAAAGATTGCTTTCATTCCAAAGGTAACTTTTAAAGAAAGATTTGTAGCAAATTTGTTGTTGGGTTATCCAAACTAAAAGAGCTTATTGCCTACTTTACAAAGATTTTTGAAAACCAAAAGATAATAGAAACCAAAGACCTTCAAAGCCTCAAACTTCACCTTTAGTTAGTTAGCTTTTAATTGAGAAATAGCTGCTGCTGTTTCGTATTTTAAAAAAAAAAAAAGCAATGATCTTATAATCAGACATTATGCTATGACATACAATTTTACATTTATAACTTATAGATTTACAGATGTTAGGGTTGGAAGGGACCTCAATAGATCATCGAGTCCAACCCCCGGCATGGCAGGAAAGA